GTACACTTGAAATTGTCAAAGTGGTCAATTTTAGGTATACTTTGCCCAAATTTTTAAAAGACAACTGAGTTCCTCTGAGAAGAGGACTGATTTGATTTACCCCACTGAGCCCTTCCTTCAGAGTAAGTGTTCTAGTCTAAGCTCCTCGGATCTATGCAATATGCCTTTTCTATTATAATTTAAATCCATTTTCAAAACCAACTTCTGAGAATGCAGCTCTAGGAAATCCAGTGCTCCATTAGACCGTGGCTGGTGACAGCACCTTGTGAGTTTGCATTTCCCATCTGATCGATCACTGTTTATCCCCTTTGTTTATTTCACTTCTTTCCTTTCCCTACAAATTATTCCAATGAAGAAATGTGGAAAAACGGTATGTCTGGGAGAGCTGGCGAACTGAGTCACAGTGTATGTGATGGGCTTTCCAGGGTACCTAGAAGAACGTTTCAGGGGGGGCAGTCCTCCCATGTTAAGTTCATAAGGTCTCAGCATTTCGACGGGTACTCTTTCATTTGATCCATGCAACACTGTACCAGTTAGCAGTCTCTCTTTCGGAGACAAGGAAACTGAGGCTCGAGTGCTTTGCCCACAGTCACACAGCTGTTCAACAGCAGAGGTTAGATATTAGCGCAGGTTTCATGCCATAGCTGCCATGATTGCTCCCATTTTACAGGTTGAGTAGTGAGGTCTGGTGGATTTACGAGGTGCGATGAGGGGACGGCAGATGCAGCAGTAGAACCTAATGTTCAAGTTCTGAGCACATTTCCGGCCAGGATGGATTTCTGTCTCCTCTAGGGTTGCTTGTCTTTATTGGCAAGAACTCTACCCGACTCTAGTATGTCATCTGTGGGCAGCCTTATTCTTTAGGCAAGATGACATCACAGTATTGTGCTCAACGTGTGTTTAAAAAAGATTTGAATGTGAGTGAGTGATGGCAGAAGACACATTACTGACCGCAGGCCTTTTGTGACCACTCAGAGAAAATCGGTATCATCACATCCAGGCAGTGGATTAACACTGATGACAAAAATCTAAAGCGTTCCTAATTCCATAACATTATAGCTACATTTAATTTATCACCACTAATTCCTTCTGGGACCTGAGATAAAAGGTGCTGTTTAGGATGTCTTCATAAATATTAAAATGTTCAGAAATAGACACGATGACTTTATAACAGCATTTCTTACCATTACAGATTCAAACACTGTATAGTGACTTGGAGACACGTACAAACAGATTTTTGGCACACTTTAGAAAAACCTCCTCAAAGCCAGCCGTTTGAATGAGAATCAGCACTGATACAGTCTTTCAAACCCACTGGAAAGAAATAAAACCATAACCAACCACGAGCAGGAAATGTGAGATGAGACTGGAAATGTGGTTTGAAAGCGAGAGTTTAATTTTTATATTGTAGAAAGTTGATTGCCTGTGAATGATTAATTACTCAAATCATTTAAACTTAAACTATGAGAAGTATTAAGTGCTTAAAATATTCCAATATTCCTTGTTTGTTTCTATCCGCAGAAACGCAGACCTACACTATGCATATGCCTCGGTGTGTCCGTTAGTGCCAACTGCCTGCCTCCTGCTTGGAAGTTGAAGAGCAGACTCTGAGGATACAGGTCTCAGGGAAGAGGACTCCAGAGCTGGAAGGCACTTTGAAATGATCTAATCCATCACCTTGTTTTATAGATGAAGAACAGAGGGCCAGAGTGGTAAAGGGGCTGGCGCAAGGCCACAAGCTCACCTAGGAGCAAGGCAGTCGTTCCAATTGGGTTCAGACAGATTTGGGTTCGTACTCTGGCCCCGCTAGTATCTTTGGACTAGAAAATGAATGCTGGTTTCCTCAGCCGTAGGACATTGACAATTTCTGTCTTGCTGCAGTGTTCTGAGCATCACATGAGAAAATGTATATTAAGCATTTGATAAATGTTGGTTGTTCACTCAATTTCCTCCTCCCAAATCTAGTGCCCCTATCCCATTCCATGCCTCTTCAGTGTGTTCTGGCATTTCAGATGTGCAGAAACTTCTTACTAGCAGCTACCAGGCACTAGCTCTGGTTTCCGGCTGAAGGAAATTGGGAAATTAGCCACACATTAATGATGGTTCTTTTCCTTCTTTGCTTCCTAATATCCACAGTGACTCTGACGTTGAGGCCAAGGATTAGCTAGGAGGCACCGAACCAGTCCTAGAGTTGCTGGAGGACGTTGGGAAGTTTCTAAGATGACAAGTGGCGATGATTTGTCCCTTGCCTTTCCTACTGCTTGTCCTGCCCCTGCTTTTGCCCCTCTTTTCTGCAGCCAGAGTGGTAGCGATGAAACAGAGCAAGGCCGAGGGCTTTCCAGGGGAATACTGGGGTATCCAGTTATGAAAAAATAAAATCTTCATTTTGGTAGAAGAGAGTTCAAAATCACTGAGTTTACCAGCAAAGTAGAAATGCTGCAGCTACCCGCCCCAGCGCTGGCAGGCCCTTTTGGTTTTTGTGGTCAAGTCATGGTGTATCTGACGTATCATGGGTGGTAACTCAACACACAGGTGGTTCCTACGTGAAGCATGCAATCAGTTTTTGTGGCCGGAGATAGATGACTTTGGTGCATCCGACTTGTGGGTGAACAGAGTTGTCTTTATCAGCAAATTCAGACCCTTAGATTTTACAAAAAAAAAAAAAGTCTCCTCAAAAATACATAGTCCATTAGGTATTAAAATGTTGGTTGTTTACCATGGAAGTTTAAATTCTTGTTGAAACATAGGGAAATTCATGTCAAGCCATCTCTTGCACTGCTTTATTCTAGAATGCTACCCCCATGGTTCCATGAATTTCCCAAAAGCCCTTGTCTAGGGATGGGATGAGAGTCCACTCAGAGTTCATTCGATTCATTACAAATCCGTTTTTTTAAAAAGTTTAAAAAAATCTGAATCTTGTTTATCATGAGCTAGGTGATATGGTAAATCAGGCCAAATTGCCCTGAGGAAAAAAAATCCATGGAGTAACAAGAAATACAGTTTGGAAATCAGAAAACAGGAGCTTTGGTCTAGATTTGTCCCTTACTAGCTTTGTGATCATACGCAGACCCAGCCTTTCTCTACCTCGGTGTCCTCCACACAAAATTTAAAAACAAGCAACCGTAGATGTTATAAATTCACCTACTTGATGGCACAACCCAATAACTACAATTAGGCTTCCGCTACGGAGAAACTGGGCAGGGGTAGCTCCACTAAGTCTGCAAGTTAAACTGGGATATTTATTTCCCACAGTCCAACTAGTAGTGTAATCAGTAAAGCTGTTAAACTTGCAATAATATTTCACTGATGTGTACCAGAGCGTTGCAAGTTATAAAATTTCCAATTTAATTTTACTGCATCCCTGAAGCCGTAGTAATTAGGAGACAAACTCACAGTGAAGATGTTTATAGCTTCAGGGGTGATAATTTTGAACCTGTCCTGCAGGTCACTTCTGTCCTCCAGGTCCCCTGATCTGACAGCTGCCTGTAGACTCAGGATTTTATTGTAATACAGCAGTAACTCATCATTCATTTGATTGGCGCAGATGTAGATGACGCTCACATTGGCATCTAAAAAACAACAGGCACAGTGGTAATTACTGGTATAAAGGTAAATGAGACCACGAACTCTGGCATCGGATTGATGCTGTGCAGTTTAAAATAAAGAGCATATCCAAAAGCCACGCTGAAGTTAATTTAGATTGGTTTTGTACAGATCTTAGCAATTCAACTGGCTTTTTTTTTTTTGCACTTTAGCATTCCTCTAAAGAAAAGATAAATAATGCCACCACCAAGAGGAGACACAATGGTTCCTTCAGAAGGAGGGCTGTAAGGCACCGTGGAGGTGTACTTTTGAATAATACGTAGGATTTAGCCCCAGAACTCCCATTAACATCAATGGGAATCGCATACTGCTTTAAAAATATCCCATTAACTTCAGTAAATTATAAAACAGAGCTATTAACTTTAGAAAGCTGCTGGAATTGCAATTTCTTATTCTGCCTGGACTTGGCAGGGCCGAATAAGGGAACGTTCCGTCCCAATAAAACGGTCTGATTATGACCACAGCAATGATTATTTCAGGAAAGCAACCTTTTCCCTGCTCGACTCCCAAAAAGGACTGTATTACTTAAATAGGACATCTAGTGATTCTTGGTTTAAAGGAAACATTATCTTAAAATCTAACTGTTCTCCTTTGTAAGATGTGCCTCTTATTACGTGTATAGAAAGAAATCCTAATTAAATATACCATCCAAATGGAATAGTGAGATGAGATTACCCACTCCCAGCTGCAGAATATTTTAGGGGGTATGGACAGGAAATCCGCAGCCAATGGAGTCACTCAACTCATTTGTAACATAAGGGACTGATCAGCAGAGGCAAAGCCCTTGGCTCAACATGAAAGGAAATGAAATACAGGACTCAAAGCAATGAGAGGTTGCCATGAGGAGCAACCGTTTCACATGTATGGACAGCCAGAAGCCACGGCAGAGGGCGGTGGACACAGTGAAGCATGCAGACCGGGTGCCCAGGGATGTTCAGAGGAGGGAGCCCCGTGAAACGTTTCCTTGGGCAAGTGGGGCCAAGAGGGGATTTTAAGACTCCTCTGTTCAGTTTGACGGAGTAGACAGAGCACAGACTGATTAAATTCTAGCTCAGCTGCCTAGGGACTCTGGGCACATTATTTAACCTTTCTAAGCATTGGTTTCTTCATTTGTAAAATGAGGAGTAAAGTCACCTGGGGCACAGAGTTTGGGAGAGTATTAAGTGAAAGAATATATAAAAGGCACGTGGTGCAGTGCCTGGCACATACTAGGTGCTCAGCGAACAGTACGGAGGCCCCGGTCTGCTCCTCAGCCCGCCCTGACTCGGCCAGCCAACAGGGCCTCCCCGCCCCAGCCTCCACACTTACACTCCTTTCAGTCAGGGCCTCCAGACTTAAGACGATGAAGCAGCGTCCTCTGTTGCGCCAAATCTATTCATCTCATCTCTCCAAACTCTTCAAAGGCAAGGTGTATACTTTCCCTATAATTTCCCACACCCCGGTGCAGTGTGGAGTGTGCAGGAGCCACTCAGTGAACACTCGCATGTTGACTGAAGGGGTCTGGGAGAATGGAGAGATTTGGGAAGTGGGAAGTCTCACACGATTAGTGAGCCCCACAGCATTCAGGAGAGATCTCCCGTGGAGATGAGCATCTCGTGGCTAGAAGCCATGTCCTCTGAGCTGGCCCGGAACTCCATAAATGCAAGTATTTAAATGACTCCTATTTAACTTTGAAACCAAATTGCCATGTGACCCTTAAAATAAATTAACTGAGGAGACACTGGTTAAATAACTTGTATCCAACTGCTGAATGATCAGATTCGTTATCCCAAATCTAGTGTTTCCGAGAAGACACTAGTGTCTTACCAAACTATTGGTTTGAAAAACTCAACAAGTATTTTTTTAAGCACAAAAAGAAACAATGAAAAGAACTTAACAAAGATTCCGCAGCAGAATAAAACTAAATTTTTCTTGGGAAAAAGTTTCTGGTTGACAAACAATAACAAGTCACGTCGCTGATTTTTCCTTTCCTGTTCACTTCTGGCAAAGGAATGCATATCACTGACGCTGATGCCCAGCATTAGTGTGGTTGGATTGTGAATCTGTAAATGTTCAAAATTAATTGGTGGGTAATTTTGGAAAGGAATTAATAAGAAGATGAAGATTGCTCTGACTGCTAGTCAATAGTCAATATTGATTTGCTTAACTTATCTAGGAATTGAAAATGCTAGCCATTGGGGTCTCCCCACCTGATACCCTGACTTCACAGCCAACGTTCAGAATAACAAGTCTTACCAAGGTAATCAGATTATCTTTGTTTCCTTTAAATAAGCAGAAAAATCAACACCCTTTACTAGGAATTAGTGGAATTAAAAAAGAATCATTTAATCTTCTACAAAATTATTACTAATTTCCTACTTTTTCCTACTTTCATGTCACAAAAAAATACTTTTTCTATTTTCAACTTTTTTCTAAACTTTCATTACTTCTCTTGAAGAGATTTTAGAATCGCAATGTGACATCGTGAAGATAGTGTACCAAGAAAAGGCATTTAGTTCCTACTCTTTCCGAAGTGTTCATATTAGCAGAATTTTCCAGTGCAGGTGGACATAGACTGAGCTATTGAATTATCTAAAATAGAAGCCTAATACTTTCAAGTCTTCTCTAATAATGAGGATCTTTTGTAAAGAACTTCTTTGGTGATGGCTTGGACTATATATAGAAGGGTTTATAAAAAGCTAAAGGAAAAAAATTAATCAAATAAATTAGAGCGAAGTCTGCCCTCTGCTGCACTTCAGTGGTTTCCACCCAGTCAGGTTTGTAGTTGAAACAGCTCAGCACTAACAAATCAATCTTAAGTCATTAAAAAAATTTTTTTGTAAGGCTGAAAAACATATTAGTGCCTGGATAATAGATTAAAGCAATTACATTATTATTATTTTGGGACACTGTAAATTTCTAGTACGGATGTATTTTTGTTACCAAATGGAATTTATAAAATAATAATGATGCTGAAATATATATGAATCATGTAAAGTATGTCATTCCAGGGAGCCAGCTAAGTTGGTCATCGATCATTTAAAATTCTTCCTTGTTTTGCTTAAATAAGGGCCAAAGCAATTATATTTTAACAAAACAAAGAAGTTCTTATTTGGTAACTGAAAAATAAGTGTCATTTTTGTTTAACCCTGAAGTTTTGGCCGACACCTCCCATGCTGACTCAATATTATTGCTTAGCCTTTCAAATCTTCATTCTTTAAGGCTCACTTCAAACAGCGTCAGCCAAAGCCACTGCATGCTTTTCTTGTATCCTTCTTTCTGGCCCTAGGTTGGTGTCTGATTCAGAACTGACCAAACCAGTAACGCTGGAACTTGGCTTGTACAAAGAATTATCTATCACTCAAGGTCTGTATTTCTAAGAATTCCCTCCACTAGGCACCTCCTGCTTTCTCATAACTAGACAATATATATTTAAAGAAAAGCTTCTTTTAAAAATCTATCTTCATTTCTCTCTTATTTTTATAATGAAAACACAATGCTTTTCATTTCAGATACCGTCCACCCATTCCTCAGATCATGTAATAGACGATATTGATACAAACAGAGAATGTTGACCTCACTTACTGCCGGATTCAGTAAAGGATGGGGCTATAGGAGAAAAATCCTTATCCAAACCTGCAGCAAAGAGAATTTAGAAAACTACCCAAGTAAATTGGTTAAAAATGTCATTGGTTTATTCAAGTTGACTTCACTCTAAAACTGTTCTTTAAAGCAAAACATTCAATTGCCCTGCGATTGATGAGAAATCTAAGCTTTTTCCTTGTGAAGGAAAGAAAAAGGCAAAAAAAAAAAAAAAAGAACATTAAAAAACCTGGCTAGGTAGAAACCACTGAAGTGCAATAGAGGAAAGAGAAAAGAAAAGAAAAGAAAAAAAAGAACATTTACTTAACATTTAATCATGATAAACATTCCAGAGTCATTTGTGTAAAAGTATTTACTGTACCTAAGATGTCACACAGCCTCCCCAGCTGCATGTTCTGCTGCGTGTTGAAGTCGGCAATATTTTTGTCGCACAGGCTGGGAATATCCTAAAAGGCAAACCAGATGTCACAACTCGGAAAGAGCAAGTCAGTTTGGCAAAATGGCACACTAGGGTTCCACAGTGTCACTGTCCATATTTTTAGAAAAGAACTGTCTCTGAAGCATCTTGCAGAAACTAACTCCTAAGATTGAGGTCCTTGCTTCTCAGGCGACTAAGCATTCTTCTATAAGATATGCCAAAGGAAGATATTCTGCACCAGAGGGGTTCATATTTTTCAGTACCAGCAAAGCTGCTAGGAATCCGGATTTTATAGAAACATGGGAAAAGTTTCTGACATTTAACATGAATGTTCCAAACAGTACATAAGAAAATTATACTCAGGTTAAAAAAAAATAACTATGTTGGCTTTTTATGCTTCTGATGTGGCATTTTGAAGAAGTGTCCTGAAATTATTCTAAACTGACACACAGATTTCAGATAAACCCCTTACTGTCGGGAATATGAATTTATTTAAGTAATTCTATACAACAAAGAAATATGCTTCTGCTCACACAGTCAAAAGAACTTTTAACCTTAAAGGGCAATAAAGGTTAGCGCAGTTACTTGTCAGTACGAATAAAAGTCCCACCCTTTTCCTTCGTGTCCATTGGAACAGCAAAAGGAGAACACGTGTGGATCATTATTGTCCAAAAATCTTTCACAACGCCAGAACATTTTCTGCTGATATTTCAGGGGTTAAAAAAAAAAAAGTGGATCAAAACACCAACTCAAAAGGCATGCATCCTCACAAGCAGGCATAATTGCTTACAGGAAATTCAGCAACTGTAGATGCAACTTTAAAAAAAAACACACAACTAAAATTACCTTTCACATTTGGAAGAGATGCTTCAATGCCTCCTTGTGGTTAGCGAGCCCAAACACATGTTTCAAGTTAAAGTGCTGTAGATAAGAGTGATTTTTAAAACGACATCTTCAAGATGTGACCCAGATTTCCTTTTCAGCAGAAGGAAAACTATAGCAATTCAGGCAACAGAGCTTCAGATCAAATGAACTCTGATAATTGGCTCTTTGCTTTGATGTTGGTATTTAAACACTAGACAACGTCTGGAAATTAAATGAGTTGACAATTCATCTCAAAGTCTCCCTTTTGCTTTATGCAAATGAACTTAAGAACGAAAGAAGTAGAAGGGCAAGTGGGTTGTTTGAATTATTTTTGAAAAATTATTAATTTCGAAAATAATTTTGGGAACTGTTCCGTATAGAAAGCTAATACAGGCAGCTAACAATGCCATCTTGATGTGTGGTTGCAGTATTGTAACTCTTGGGATTTTGCATATGTATAATTCTATTTATATTCAGATAAATGTTTATTTAGGAAAATGTATTGTGAATAACTTATATATCAAGACTATAAGGAGGCAGAAAAATGCCTAGAGAATAAAGCATGATTAAGAAAAGTGCCCGAGAGCATCTCATGAATGCATTTCCTTTCGAAAGTAAAGATAAAAGGCAGTGTGAGATGGCTCATTAAGATGATGTCCAATTTAAAATATAAAGGATGTCTGATCACTTTGTTGCCACACATGCAGCACGTGAGTCTGTGTTTCAATCAAGTGCTTGAGGTCAGTTTTCCGACAAATTGCTTAGTTCTTCTGCTACCGCTGATCAAGGATGCGTATAAAGTGTCTGTGCAGGATTATGATAAAACAGGTTCCTCAGTTAACCCTACAAATACACCCATTTTAATGAACTGTATGTTAACAATCTTAGAGCATTGTTATAGAGGATATGTGAAGTAAGAGATAGGAAAACATTTTGTAAACTGTAAAGTGCAGTGTAAACAGAAGGTATTTTAATATTACAAGGTATGAGCACTTCCAAAGCTCATAACAGCAAAAAATTGTCACAAGCAACAGATGGGCAAGATACAACATAAGACACGTTACCATCAGCAGAGCAGAAGTTGGGAGTCAGTTTTTTAAAAAGACAGATTTATTAC